TTGGCTACTCTTTGAGACAGCCCTTCTTCAAATTATCTCCCTCTTCCCTCCCTCCTCCTCACCAGTGTCCCAAGTGATATGTGCAGTGCAGATTGTTCTTGTGACCGCACTGCCTAGGATTCAGAGGTCCCAGTTTCCCCTGCTGTTTAAGTGATTCATTGAAAGGGAGGGACATCTTCATGGCAACCCTGTCCATCCTTACCTCCAGCTTTCCCAGTTCTGCTTTCTGAGCTATGGTGTGAACTGCACAGTGGGACTGCGTTATCTTTTCCTGATGAACCTGTGGTAAAAGGAGTTGGCTTCCTTAGGTACGTCAGAGGCCTCTGAACATGCGCAAGAAGGGGCCAGTTGCAGATGCTTTCTCAAAGCCAGGAGTTTTACCGGCACTGTTGAAAGCGTGATAGCTGCAGCATGGGTCAGGACTGAGTGGCTGGAGGAGGACGACCGTGTCTGACTGTCTTGGCTGCTGGAGGAACTGCTTGTGTGCCGCCTGCCTTAACTGCTGTTATTCTTAGATCTGTTTTACCCGAGTGCTCCAGTAGCAGATGTAAATGCTCCAACATGATCCTTGTCCGAAAGACAATTCTAAGTTCATGATTTGATGACTTCAAGCTGTCTAATTTATTAAGAAGAAAATTAGTATAATACAGATGTTACTGCATTGTACTCTTAATGACTTTTAGCCCATACCAGTTAGGCTTGGGAAAAGCTTAGAGATAACAAGAGTTGAGGAGAGAATAGGTGTAAAGAGTATTTAAAGGGATGCTTTTTGCATTTCTTTACCCCCAAGTCAAAAAGATTTTGTTTAACTTTTCTCATTTGTTGGTATGTTATTACCCCTATGGTATCAGCATTATGAGTTCAGCGTGAATAAATCCAGGATAGCATGTGGTAGGAGGCTTTGAAGTGTTTTTTGCCAGATACATTTCTGCAATTCTTTCAGTTGGTCATCATGCCATCTCCAATGTTAGAGGTTTTAAATGGCTTGTGGCCAGTTATAATTCCCTCCGTATTGCAGAAGATTTGCATGGCTTCATGTGCTGAAAGCTGAGTGCGAAGTGTTTTTGGGTATTGAAACTCCTGATGTGTCCCCTGTATTAACTATTCAATTTCAGGATCTTTGGAAGGAACCTGCAGTATTGGTTAAATTACATTCATTTTTAGGAAAATTACAACTGTGGTGGGATTTGTGTACTATTTACAAGTTTTTCTCGCACACAAATATTAGTTTTCCTTTCACTAAATGTCAGATGAGTAACATTGGAAAAAGTGCTCCTTCAAACTTAAAATCTGCATTTGACTGAAAAATGAAATATGCTGAGATAAGATGAATAACTACAGTTTTCTCATGCATGACTCATGGCAGAGCATTCCATTTCCCAAAGGCAAAGATGGATGCATCTTTCTTAATTGAAGCAAATCTCCTCAATCTTGGAAAAGCTGAGCTCATTATTCACTGAGAGTAATTCTGATGCTTCTGCATGGCATCATAAGGTATGCGTTTCAAAAATTACTGCAAATCCGGAGGATAGATTAGCTGTGCTGAGTGTATGAGACCCCAAATTGAGAGAATTCTGAAAATTGCTGTTTTTCACATCTGTAAAAGGGAACTTTTAGCTTCCCATAATAGACTGAGAAGAACTACCAGATACTGGTAATCACACTCCTTCTGCAAGCGAGCTTTAAGGATCTTGTGGCATTTCTTGTGAAAGTCATATTTTGCTCATTGTCCGCAGACAAAAATACCACCCAGCACCTGATGCTCTACAGCATGCTTGCTGTCTGCATACAAGGTGATGTCTCCTGTCTTTTATTAGTGTTTTTATTTTTTAAATACATACATATGTGGTGCTTTTACTTTTTTTTTTTCCCAGCAAGGAAAGCACAGTTGTGGTTACATACTGTGCACAGTGCCTTGGCAGGATGGGGACGGATCGAATAAGTGTGTTTCACGTGTGTGTATTCTTGCATAGTGAAGGAGTGTGTCTGAGTGAGACGGAGCTGTCGTTCCAACATGCTTGTGTAAATCCCCACTTACTGAAATGTCAAATTACACCTTTATCCACATATACTAGCGTAAGCTATTGTAATGACTGCTTTTGGTACAGTTGAGGGTAATTTGTCATGCCTTCTGAGTATCACTTGAAAGAGCAAATCTGGTAGTTGTTCACTAGTGGCTTCTGCAGACTCTACAAGTAGCAAGGAGGTCATGAATCATGTGGATTCTTTCGTAAGTTCTGAAAGAAAGGGCCACTTTAGGCAAAGTATAAATGCAACCATATGCCCATACCTTGGAGTCTTTGCTGAAATTTGACAATAAAATTGCTGTGCATATGATTTGCTTTCTGAAGAAGAAGCTCCATTGCTTTTAGAGCAGTAGCATAGCAGCAATTAACTTGCTGTTTTTTTCTGCTCAAGTGTAAAAATGTTTATTGAGTACAAAACTGGTAACTAGATTGGTGTAATGAAGATTTTTTGTAATTCTTAAAGACAAAGCTGCATTCCTTTGTTTCCTTAGAAGAAAGAGGCAGCAGTTAAAATGAGAAGAAATCTTATTACAGTCTGCTCAATAGGAGAAAAGTATGCGAAGTGGAACTGTTATGCTTTTGTTAATCTTAGTACAACTCTTCAATTAGCGTGGAAGTACCTGTTTAGATTTGTTGAACAACCATTTTGTATTAAGAAAAAAATCTTTACAGCACAGCTTACTTTTTCTGTTGAAGGACAAAAAAAAAGTGTGGGCTTTTCCTCATCAACTTTTCCACAGTGATCTTAACAGTCAAAGCTGAATGAGATAACTTTCGTAAATAATGTGAAAAAAAAAAATCTCAAATGCCATCTCCCAATATTCTGCATCTGGGGGCAGCTTCAGGGGCTGAAAGGAATGTGCTCTCTCAGTCTTTAGTGCTGTACATGATTACAGCTGTCCATCTTAACGCGATTCCTCAGAAAGATTACTGAGAAATCTGTGGGTTCGTGCACCAGTGGTGACACGGGGTGTTGTGTTCAGAGTAGCTCTGCGCGTAGGAAAAGCAGATTATTTCCTTCAGAGCTTGACCGGTGTAGACAGAACGGAGCGAGTGGAAGATCTAACTCCTCAGTATCTGAGGAGCAGCTGGCAACAGGACTGGATACATCAATGTAGCAGGTAGTAATTGCAATATTAAAATATTGAGGGTGTTTCCAAAACAAAGAACAGCAATACGTCCACCAGAGACAGTGCAGGAGGGAATTGTGTTCTCTGGAAACGTGCTGGTTACTAGAGGGATCTACTGAATGAAGTCGGTGTGCATCAGGATGGGATTGTTGGCACGGGAAAGGAGAACATAACTTTAATTGGGGTTTAAATAGGAGAAGGAAGCAGCAGTTCTCTGGGTGAAGCAAACCAGTTGCACCAGGGGCGTAAAACTAGGCAGAGGAGAAGAATGGTAGATCAGGGAGGAAGAAGTGAAAAGTCTAAACTGGAGAAAATTCTGGTGGCGGTACATGCTGGAGGGTTTGGGAGTGGACAGCCTGGGTTTGCTTGCCGTTTGGTATGGGAGGGAGTGAACAACAGCCCGCTGTGAGCACTGCGGGGAGGGCTTCCTCTGTGCCAGTAAGTGTGACTCAGAAGAGCCCGGGGAACACCTTCGAGCAGTTGAAGTGCTGGTTCAGTGTGATCCTGTCAGTGTGGTGACTGCTTCAGCTGCGTATTTCGGTGGTGCAACTGCCTGCACCGCGTCTGCTCCCCCCTCTTTCAGCAGAATACGAGAAGCCTTTCAAAGGAGGGAAGTGGTCACTTGGTTTGCATTTTTTTGGCGAGCATTTTTCTGAAGCAGGTTATTGCTGATGGAGCCACACTGAATAGTGCTTGTGTGGGGATGCCTTCCACCCACCGAGGACGTGGCCCTGGTGCTGGTTGGGTTGCCTGATCATTCCAAGCCAAGGTGCCAGCTGTAAGCATGAAATAAAGGTGTCAGTACTAAAATGTCTTAAACAGCTAACATATTAAGTGTTCCCTGAATCAACATACTGCTTTAAAATTTAAGTATCTGAATGTTTTAAGGTGTTTAGCCTGCAGCATTTGTGTGTGCTACTTGAAAGCAGCCCACGCATGTACAGGTGGAAAGGAGGCAGCAGTGTCTTCACCTGGGATATTACTGTGACTGACCATCAATTAAGAATTTCTTCTTTAAACTGTTATCAACTCAAACCGTTTAACAAAAATCACTTATTTAAAGAAGACCTGATGTTACTTTTTAATACATGGCTCTAATCCTAAGTACCAGTTTTCTCAGTTGTGGATTATTGCTAACTTTACAGGTGCACCAAAGGAAAAAAAAACTATGCTGCAGGAGAACCCCAGTTTTTAAGAAGTGTTAAAATGTGTATTGATCTATAGATTAAACTGTGTTGGTGTGTTATCTTGTTATGAATATCTTTATTTCAGAAAAAAGCCAAATTAAATGTTGACTACATCCATATACTGAGGGGAAATTAATTTGGGAATGATGTAACATACTCTGCTATCTCGCGTTGTAGCCTTTCTCTCCAAAATCTCGATACCAAGAACATTTATGAAAAAGGGGAATTCTACAGGAAAGAAAATGTGTTTTGGAAGAAGAGACACAAAATTGTTGCCTAACTATTCTAGAAGTCTCTGATTGTTGAAGTGATGTTGAGAGGCGTGTCAGGCTGGCTGCAGGAGGGCCTCTGCAGCACTCTGAGTGTGCATATATGTGTGTGTGTGCACACTCCTGAGAGTGCCTACCTTGCCTGCCCCTGGCTGGGTGGAGAGGCAGAGACCCCAGCTCTCCTCTAAGATTCCCGTCGCTGCTGGGGAATTACTGAATTGAGGGGGAAAGAATGATTTTGATAATAAAAACGAATGCTTGAAATGTAAAGTTTAATCCTTAGAATTGCTTACGGTCTTGGTCATGTTAGTACATTTAAGAAATTAACTAAATTGATAATTTCTAAATATTTTTTTTTTAATCCTAAACATGTGTTTACTAATGCAGGCAAGAAGACAGCAAGACCCTAGCCCTGGATCTAACCTAGGAAGTGGCGATGATCTCAAACTACGTTAATCAACAGCAGCAGGCGTATCATGGGTTGCTTCTACTTGGCAAAGGATTTAATAAAAGACCAGAAACTGTGATAACTGGGTATATTATGGTCTGTTTCCTGACCTGCGGCAGTCAAAATCACCATGAACTGCCATGGTTTGCACTATGTTTATGTTACAATACCTGCATTTCCCATTTTAAGCATGTAGCCAGTGGCAATTTGAAAATTTGTTTTTCTATGCAAACTTATTTTTGTTGGCACTATTTTAGTGAAATGGAAACTTATGCAGCTATAAAACCATTTTTCTCAACTGTAATAAAAATTGTCACTTAAAAATAGGTCAAGATATTACAGATTAAAAACTTCTTTTTTGTTTTTTTTTTTTTGTAAACTGCTGGAAGCCAATGCATTCCAAGCTTAATTTTTTTAATATAGGCTTTTGGAATTTTGATTGTCCTTATTGTGCTCCTGCCTTATTTTAGATATGCGTTCTTATCTTTCTTTCAGTTTTCTTTTTTTCTAGATTTGCAAGACCTTCTTAAAACTGCTGACATTATTTTGCATTATTTCCAAGCTAAACCCAGTGAATCAGAGCTGTTGGAATCAGTTTTCAAACTTTGTGGGTTTGTAAACGTTACAGTTGCAGTATTCTTTTAACTGCTAACAATTCATTGGTTCCACTTTTTAAACGATAAAATCTTAAAATATCTATTTTTCACTCATTAATGCATTTTGCCCCAGTATCTGTCTTAGATTTTATTCTGTATCAAGTGAGTTTGGGTGGTTATTATACCCCTGTATATAGTACTTTACTGAAACTCATAGGAAGTCGCAGGCTGGCTTCTGTTTTATTCAGGGATTTTTTTAAATAGTTCTTAAAAGGGATACTGCAACTCTACAATCAGATTCAACAGCTTGTTAAACTGGGAACGAAAATGATCAGCTGCCAAGGTGATATGTATTAAATCATATTTAAGATAAGCTGCTTTAAGTATATTTTATATCTTAGGCTTTTTGTAAAGTTGTGCTGAGTGGTGAAAAGTTGAGATGAGGTGGTGTGCAGAAAATCTCATACTGTGCATAGGACACTTCTATTAAATCTGATGCAAATTAAGACTACATTGCAGTAGATATTGCATTTTCTATCAGGGTAAGAGTTGGGATGAGTTAATTTGTGTGAATTACCTTGTTTCATTTGGGGTGGTGGTGAATGGACTTGTTCCAAATTTTTAATTGGCTCCGATATTTGAAGAAAATACATTGGAAATGTGATGTTCTTTGGCTTTGTTAAAATGGGATGCTTCCTGTACAGCCTGATTAATTAAAATGTCACTTAAATACCTTTTCAAAATAGGTGATCTGATTTCAGTATTTTAAGAATGATTTTGACGGTAGAGACTCTGTAGGGTTACAACAGTTAAATCTCTGTTCAATTCTGTCGTGAGGATCATTACATTCCTCGTTAATGGCAAAAAAATTGATGCAAAAGAGGTCTTGCAAAAATGTAAACAGATGCCAATGTGAAGGAGAATCTTTGTATGTTAATATGAATATTTAACATTCACTTAAAAGTGTCAATAACTGTAAACTGTGAGAATGTCATCAAATAGAAATATTTTGATACTTCAATTTAAATGTGATTCACCTGAAAGATAACCTTTTTCACTCTGTGGCCACGTATTCTTCTTGCTCTTCTTCCCCCAAAAATTAATTTTTCTAAAGTGTTTCTGCGATGAGTTATTTAAGGGACACATGCACGCATCCGCACGCATCCCTAGCTTTGGATCTTCTCTGCCATCTGTGTATTTTTGATGGAATAGTCTGAAGATTTATTTTAAAAGGTTTTCCTAACGTTCCAGACAGTGGTTTTAAACCATAAGTACACAGGAAATTATGCTATCAGATATTAGCGTTGCTATCTTTGTGTAAATACTGAACTTTCCCTATCATCATTTAGCATTCTGCTGCTTTCGATATCTTAATGCTGGCATTAAGATCACGAGCCCTTACCCTCTGCTGGTTAGTGCAGACTTTTTAAAGTGCATTTTAAGTTATTGATGCAATTTGATATTTTTCATAATTTCTATTTAAACTGAAGTTGCATCATCTTTCTTGAATTCATCTCCTGTAAGAGTTGCCTTAAGCTACAGGATTGCTTTTGCTACTTTTTGTGTTGTATGTTTAACTTTCATAATAAACTTCTGTGTAGTGAAAACAAGTTGCTGTAAATTTATTCTGACATCCTGGTAGTCCACGCCAACATATTCAGTGTTCCTGGGGTAACTTTCCAACCCACCGGCAGCGCAAGGCTGCCTTGATGTCCATGCTTAAAGCAGCAGTGACATCCAGTGGTCACGTCCCTAACCTGAACACCTCCTGTGGCCAGGAACAGTCTGCGGAGGGGATTCGTGGCGCTCTGAAAACCTTTAATATCAGGCATGCAGTGGGGAGAAGGCAGATTTTGCTGCCCTAAAGCGCTTGTGCTTTTTTATAACTGATGTGCCCTGCTTCCTCTGGAAGCACATAGCTGCTGAAGTAACCCTCAGAAATTTTATCTCCCTGGGTTGTAACAGTTGTGCTGGCTTGTAGGAGAGCGTTGTTTATGGGCACGTTTTCGTAGCAGCCGTTAAACCTTGCTGATGGTGCTGCTGTGGACAAGGAGGGGAAGCAAGGTGGTTTGCATGTTGAAATTGAGGAAATGGGGAAATGTGGTAGAGTTCTGTGGGGAAAATATGAATGTTACATGCTACACCTGAAAACCTCTTCTGAAGCTGCTAACATTTTATCTGGTATAACATCAAATATTTAATATTGAACAATGATGATGGTTATGTACCAGAATCACATAGAGAATTGCTTTCTTAATAACTTGAGATCCGAGGACTGGTTTGGAAGTGTTTTTACGTGCAAAAGGACAACTGGATAACCTTATCTCATACCTGTGAAATCTGGCTGCAAACAGCTCAGAGTGCCTGGTAAAAAGGGCACTGCCGGTGACCTGGGGTGGCTCTGAGGATACTCTGTAGGAAGGGAAAAATGACAACCTGTGTTACTCCGCAGCTCCTGTGCTCCTGGCGGCAGACAGGATCTTCGTTAGCTACCTGAACACAGCCATCCCTGAGCCACGCTAACGGAGGAAAAGTCCAGCCAAGGCTTTACGAGTAAGGTGCTCAGCCCCCTGCGATGTGCCTCGGGCAGAGAAGTGAATCCTTCCATGAGCTGGCGGGTAAGCCAACCAGTTACCCAGCGGCTGTGCTCACTGCTCGTGACAATGCCGTTCAAACCGAGCTGCTTTGACAGCAGAGCCTACGGTAGCTAACGAAGGTCTGCCGTCAGGCTCTGCTGGCATGGGATGATGCACTTCTCCGCCCAAGGGGCGGAGCGTCTTACTCGGTAAAGCCTTGGCTGGAGTTGGAGGCGTCGAAGGACAGAGGCACTTTGTCCCCTGACTCCTCTTGGACTGAGTTTGCCTGTCGGGCACATCAATAGCAGAGGGAATCTGAAAATCTGCCCGCATGAGGCACCTGCAGCGGAAGGGGATTTTTAAAACGTTCCAATCCTTTGCTGAGGTGGCTCAGGGATGGCTCTGTTCAGTTGGGGAATGAAAGAGAGTGGGGAATGATGGAGCTTATCGGAATGGAGAGGGATGCGGGTGGCCTGGAGCAGGGGAGGTATGGTCACCTCTGGCTGGATTTTTTAACCTCTTGCAGCTACACGGCCTCTTTCTAACCCGAGAATCCAGAGCATGAACTGTGTTTAGTCCATTCTCAAGCTTTCAAAACCTGGATGAATGTGTTTCCTCGTCTCTGGAAGGAAGCAGCAACTCTGGGCTGTGCTCCTGGGCCCCCTCTTGAAAGCAGGAAACCCTGAAAATGAAACTGTGGGTGAAAACAGCAGCTTTTCTGTTCCTGCAGAGCTGTGGTATTCTGCCTAATGATAAGCCTTGTTCAGGTGAGGGCTGGGAAGCCAGAGGGAGACATGGTTTTGGAGAAGTCCGGAACTGCATGGCCTGGCAGGATCTTGGCGGGACTTCTGCATTTTTTTTTTTTTGTCCACCATTAGGTCAGGACCCCACTCATTACAGATGTATTTAGAAATCCATCCTGCCTGCATAGAAATAGGACTGATTTATGTAAAGTTACGTTATTTTGTTACTACATTTCCAATGCAAATAAGAGAATGACAAAAATGGCTTCGAGGCTGAGAATTACAGCGAGAAGTCGCAGCGGAGTGCACATTTGCATCGGCACCGTTTCTCATAACTCATTTGCTTGACATCCTGTCTTAACGCTGCCACGGAATGTAAATCCCACAACATGCATATTCAGCAGCTGCTGCATGGCTCCAAGCTGCTTGGGGTTTAAGTGACTTTATTTAATAGCTTTTTCAATTACAGGTTGAGATAAGTGCATTTCCAGAATTGCCTGGGGCTCATTTGTTAAAGCTGGGGAGCGAGGGGAAGCATCCCGCAGCAGCTGCATGCCCCCAGCCGCTGCTGCCGCCCTGCACTGGGGGGCTGTGGGAGAACCAGGCACCTGCAGGAGGGGAAGAGGTGGGTAATGGGAATGTATCTTGCCCAGCTGTATGCTTCTTGCTCAGCCTGGACCACAGCTTGTCACAGCTGGTGAGACTTTTGCCGAGCCTTTGTTGCTCCCCACAGCTCCCCTGATGAGTGCTGCGGTGCTTTCCAGTCTGCTGGGGGTGACGCTGGTGTCTTGGGGGATGCAGGTTTTCCCAGTGCTCCACTTTTCCTCATTCCCCAGGCTGTAATTCTCTGTTTTTCGTGGGAACTGGGGGCCTTAACACCTTGTACTCTTTGCAGTCCTCTCTTTCCCATAGCAGGTGATGGGTTAGATTGAAAACAGAAAAACCTTTTAGAGCTGGAGTCAAGTTTGTGCCCTAGAGCTCCTCTGTCTTTTCCAGCTGGTTTGCTGAAAGTGACTGTCCCTATGAGCCTTGCTTGCATCCCCAACCCTTTCAGCTTTGGTTATTCATACCCTGCAAAAATCCAGCAAGGTGTAGAAAAACGAGTGCTGTCAGAGAACTAAAACTTCTTGGCTGCTGGATGCACCTGGCCCGGAGAGCTGCTGATGCGACTGCACCACGAAGGATGTGCACAGCTGGGGTGATGGTGCTGCTGCTGGCGTAGTTCAGGAGTAGTTCAGGGCTTTGGCCCTGCGTGGCGTGACGCAGGTCAAGTCTCTTCAGGCCACGCTCCTCAGGGAGACCTCGGATACGAAGAGCTGAGGTCTGTCCAGGGGAAGGAAGGCGGTGCACGGCAGGAGCCATGCGAAGGCGGGTTGAACCGCAGGGGTTGGGTGGTCAGGCTTCCCCTGCTCTGTGGGGAAGGGGCGGGTACCGGTGTGCCCCAGGTTGGAAGAGAAAATGGAGCGGGGCGGAGGGAAGGGGGACATGCTGGGGCAGGCACCGCTGACACCGCCCGTTCCCCGCAAGGCTGGCGGGCACTGCTGTGGCTGCCCTCGCATCAGGTTGGCCAGAGCAGTTGTGGCTCTTGGCTTGAGTCGAACAGAAGAGGGGACACAGGGTACCAAGGGCTCATCATTTGGGCTGCAGTTCTAGGGGCCAGTTAGTGGAATTGTTGTTGTGCAGGAAGCGGGAGGGATATCCCTCTGTATGAGCAGGGATGCCAGCATCTGACCCCCTGCATCCCGCCTGCACCCGTGCTCCAGCCGGCAGCTGGACACCACCTCCAGCCCTTCCCTCCTCCTCCCCGCTGTGCAGGGCTGGCCCTTTGCAGAGCTCTGTCTGGGTCTTGTTCACAGTCATCCATCCTACCGTAAAGCCTTGCAGGAGGCTGCTCTGGGGGGTGAGTGGTGCTCGCCCCAGGGGCTGTTCCCACCCGGCA